CACATCCCATCTGCTTGTGTGATAAATCACAGAAATAACAGAATTAGTTATTTAATATCATGATCAAATACTTTCTATGATTATTTTGTGTGCTGTTGAATTTCGCCTCGTGCAAGTTGGAAGGAATACCTGAATTTTGTAACCTATCAATAAATCAAAGGCATTGTTCAGACTGGAATAAGGAAAGAGACACCAAGAGAACAATAAAAAATTGACAGCTACTATATAATAGGTCAAGAGTCTAATACAATTGTACTTCTTAGAAGATAAAGTAAACTGCCTTCCTTTTTCTTTCTCTTCTCATGGTCAACATCGCATACAACATTGAGTCCTTGCAGGGAATATATGAGCCATCATGTTGGCATTCTTTTGTCAAAATAAGGAAGGACATAACTTTTATTTTATTTTTTTGCTTTTGTGGTTTCATTTTAAACTGTCACAGCTTGGTTGACATTTAAAATTCATTCCTTTGAATTTTCCCTTAAGGGTTATGTCTCAAAAATGAAAGCCTGGTGAAAGGGTCAAGGGTGAAAGCCTGGTGAAAGACTCAAGAATAAAAAAATCCTTGTCTATTCATACATGGTTACTGCTGCTCCTTTATAGTGGTTGTTTGATTCCTGCATTTGCTGTACAGAAATAGTTTTTAAGTTTACTTGTGTAATTCAATACCAGGTGTAGGATCAGCCTCGGCAGAGGGTATATAGCCCAAATTGAAATGCAACCTTTTGGTGAAAGTAGTTATATAGTACAAGTAGGTACGAGACTTGTTGTGCCTTAGTTTGGAAGTTTAGTAGGATTCTCATTTTTGGTATAAATAAAAGCCAAGTCCTGACTTCTGCACTGCTGCTGTATGTGAAAATGATTCTAATAATTGTTGTCCAAGTAATTAGGAATAGTAATGTTGGTACTCCATTTTATTCTTATTAACTATTCTTGCTGTCTTTAAATCAATAAAAAACTCTTGCTGTCCTTTTTACCAAAAAGAAGAAGAAAACTACTCTTGCTGTCTTCTATGAGCTGCTAATCAAATACAATTCTGTACAGGTTGAAAGAGAGAGAAATTTACTCAATACCAAGTTGATTGAGTTTGACAAACTTTGCAAGCCCCAGGGAGCTCTACTGAAACCTAATCATTCCAGCCAAAATCCTTTACCTTCAGCTAGTCAACATGCATTCTTGCAGGCTGCTAACAATAGTGCTGCTCCGTCACTCTCAAGTTTTAGCCAATTGGGCACATCCCTCAACACAGGGTTTGGACCAAGGCAAGTCTCACTTTTAATATTTACACTCCTATGGTAGATTCATGTTGAATACTTATTAATATCCTGAAATCCTGTTTCCATGATTTCCATTGGGTTCTGTAAACATGTACTGCGATTCTTTCTCAGGCCGTCTGCACCATCAAATAATGGTTTTGCACAGCTGAATCCTTTTGCTAATTCCACCCAGACTTCGAGCGGATTTGGGACAAACAATTTTCTTTCTGGAAGTGCTGGTAAGAAACTTTTTCATTCATTTCAGTAATACGCATACCTTTGCAATCTTTTATGTTTCTTCTGACTGTAAGATGATAGGTTCACGTGGCAGCCAATTTCCTGCCACTGCACATGTAAATGTTTTTCCCTCGAGTACAGGATTCGGCAATACTGGTGTCATGAGACATGAAACCAACCCATTTTCTACTTTAGTAGTGTCATCACAAATTCCTAGTGCAACAACTGGTCTGTCACCCATTCTGTCAGATGGGCCTACCTCTGCTTCCAATGCAGTTGGACAATCAACTACAGAAGTTCAGTTCCTGTAAGTTGGAACCAAAAAGTCTGTTCTATCATATATCTTTTATAAAGTCTTATTTTTTCATGTAAGTCATATCCTTCCCCACAAGTACTGTCTATTGTAGCACTCAACAACTCTCTTTATTTCTTGAGTGCTGCTTAAACTTTTCATTTTACGCTAGATCCTAGTGAAAAGGAGGGGAGAGATAGAGAGAAGGGGAAAGAAGAAGAGGTGAAATCACAGTAATATTCTCAATTCAATTATGAGCAATTTGCTGAACTGAATATATACGTCTATTTGTATAGGTCAGTCCAATAAAAAATTAAACGAATAAATCAAATAACGACATAATTAAAATCACTAGAATATTGAAAACCAAATCAAATCATACTAAAACATAAAGTTCCTAGATAAAGCGGAAACTTCTCTTTAGCCTAAAAATACTTAAAATAATAAGCCGTCTTAGGATCTCTATCATAGGCGCTGATATCAATTAATGTAGGAGAAAAATGAGAATAGGGGGTAGTGTAAAAAAATAGGTGAGACGAGGGATGAAGAGAAGGGAGAGAAGAAGATGAGGCAAAAGCACAATAACATCCTGATTCTATCTTAAGCGGTCTTCTAATAACATGTATAGAGGCCAGTCCAAGCTAACAAGGAAAAAACCAAATAGTGACTTAAAAGAACCCAAATCAAGAGTGAGCTTCCATGGAGGGATCCCTTATTTGAGGGGCACATTGTGGGCCCAATGACTGTAGTTCAATTATCCGAACCTTCTGTTTTAAGTCTCAATGGAAGGAGTGATCGTTGCGAAACATTAGACAAATAAAATTAAAAAAAATTTGGGGTAGGAGGCAGCTGTAGAAATTAATATATTATTTTGCTCTCGTGGAGGTATTTAAACAGATTTACAGCTGTACATGCTAACAAAATTTCTTGTAAAACATGTTATGGGCAAGATTTTTCTTCTTTCTAAATGAGTTGGTGTGGGGTTTAGGCTAACTCAATTAAAGTTGGGCAATTCAAGACTAACTCCAGTTATTCTGAATTCGTCATGGGTCGGCTTGAGTTCATGTATTCTCAACTTGATGAAATTCAAGCACGAGCTCGAAATATAAAGAATCTGTTGGGGTTGGATTGGCCTTCCAACCCACCTGAGTTGCAGGCCTAAAGCAAAAGGGATCGCATTGTTGGGGCTCCATTGCATCCCAGTAAATGTTTGAACGCTGAGTCCGCACTTGAACCGGCCTGTATAAGTAGAATATAAGTCCTCTTGTTTAGGTTTTTATTTTATCATGGGACATATTTGTTTCTCTTCTTTCAAATTCTACCCCTCTGTTTTTTGGGTGTCTGTTCCTCTGCCCCTTCTTTCATCTCTTACTAGTCTCCATTTCGGTTATATGTACTTAGTTATATTCATCTTCAGCCTTTTTGTCAATCCTACAGAACTAACATGCAAAGGGAGAAGATTTCTGGGGAGACGAGTATTTGGTTGAAAAAGATATGGAGTCCTGGAGAGGTAAGAAGCTTACTTCTTCCTGTACTTTAGATGCATGACTTAAAAAATAAAAATTAGAGACGTGATTTGAAATTTTAGAGTATCTGCACATTTAGTATGTTTAGTTTTTTTATCAGCTGTCTTCTTCCTTACCCCTCTCCTAATATGATGAGACATTGGTTAGTATATAATGTAATTCCAAAGCAGAGGCTTGTGATTGGATAAAATTTGTAATTTTCATGTTGAGAAATATAATCGAAATTCTTGGTTTCTTAAGATTTAAAAAAAAAGAAAAAAAAAAGATGGTGAACGTATGTGGGTAGTCTCCTCCTATTAGGAAGCCTATTGACTGGGGATTGCTATGGGCTAGCTAGGCCCAGGAATAACCTGGTAATCTTTGTTTTGGGCCCCATTTGTGCCGAATCAAAATAATATACCGGTAATGGGGTATGCCATAATTGCAATAGTGAGTGCAAAAATATCCTCAGGTTCCCCAATTGCAATTGTAATTAGGTATGTTTACAACTGTAAATGACTGCTTATTCCAAACCATGATATGAACATGGTATACATTTCTTTTTCTTGTCTTTCTCCCCAGATTCCCGAAGAAGAACCGCCAGATGCGCTGGTTGAGTTGTAAGTTGTGGTAATGAGCAGTACAAGCACAACGCTTACTCATGCAATTTGCTAGGTGGCCAAAGCACTTAATGCTTGCGAAACGCAAATGGTGACTCAAATGGTGACTCAAATCTCGAGTTGGAACCCAGCCAGAGTTTGGAGATGTTAAGGAAAGAGGGGCTACCTCCAATTGTGCGGCCGAACAATCCAATCATATTTTGCAGCATTTGCAAAGACATCTGCATCTGTCTTATGCTCTACACTGTTCCTGTTAAAAGTTCTTGACAAGCTTCTTATAAAGCGCTTTCTGC